TTCTATTGTGGCTGTTTCAACTTAATCAACTACCTTTTCTGTATCGTCCCGCTCTTCCAGCTGAATCTGACAGACTGAGACGTGTTTTATCATTCCGGCCCGGCTTATTGTTTTCCATGCGCTTTATGTTCACATGACTCGAACACGTGGTTGTAGTAATAATACTACTACTATTACTAATAATAATGACACTTAAGTTGACCACTCAATGAACTCTGGACCAAGGTGGTCTACCTACAGAGGTCTGTATTCATGCCGGGTTTCGTCGAGGTCGGGGCTGCATCGACCACATCTTCATTTTGCGTCAATTGTTGGAGCACCGCTATGGCGATCTACCGTTGTGTTCCTCGACATAAGAAATCCCTTCGATTCGGTTGATCGATGTGCCTTTTGGACTGTCTGCTGAGTTAAAGTGGCGTCCTTTAAATATGTAATGGTTATCGGAACGCTGTACGCGCATAGTTGTCGGCCCGTAGCCTAGAAGTAATGAGCTTGTCTGGTAATCTTGCGGCACGGGTTGCGATCCGCGTAGGGGTGGGCGTCCTCGCGGTATACTCATCCCGCGTGCGACTCGTGGTGGTAGCACGACAGCGAAGCACCATAACAGAGTGCAGTTGACACATTATTATTATTATTATTATTATTATTATTATTATTACTACGCGCGTAGTTCGGGTACAGTGCGCGTTTATGACAAACTGTCGCCGCTCTTCAATATCCCCAGCGGTGTGAGACAAGGTCGCCCGCTGCCACGTTTCCTTTATAACTTCGCCTTTGACGAAGTCATGCAAACAACAATCGTTGGACACTACCTAGAAGGTGTGGAGCTACTTCCTGGTAAGCGACTTCTTGACTTGGTGTATACGGATGACATTGCCCTTATCTGTGACAGCTCCCAAACGTGCCAAGCAGCACTGAACAGGTTAGCACTGGTTGTCAATTCTTTTTTGATGTGCTTTACACCCTCGAAATGCAAAGTTCTTCTCCAAGATTAGCGAGGACCCACCCCTACGCTGGCCCTTAGTGGTGGTCATCTAGCAGTCGTTTAGGAATTCACATACCGCGGCGGCTATATTAGCGCCCGTGGAATTGATTGGGTGGTCACAAACCACATAGCAAAATCGAAGTACTTTTGCCAATCTCCGCCACCTGTGGCGCAGACGCGACATCACTCTCGCCCTTCAGGGCGACCATCCTTTCAGCCCTCTTATACGATTGTGAAACCTGGCCCCTCAGGTCGGCAGACATAAAGAGGCTAACTATGTTCGGCTAACGCTGCGTTCGCAGCTTAGCTCATGTCTGGTGGGAGCACCGCGTGAGCAACGAACATGTTCGGCGTCGTGTATTTGGTGCAGCAAGAGCGAGTGAACCGCTCAGCATCCTTATTTCACGCTCGGGTTCCGATGGCTGGGACACGTGTTGTGCATGCCAGCGCACCGACTCCCACGTCTTGTGTTGTTTGCGCTCCGGGGGTGTGGATGGAAGGTTAGGAGGGGAAGCCAGGCGATGACTTGGTCAAGAGGAGTGAAGTCCGTCACTTCGAAGTTGGCGTCGGTTGGTCCATCTCGACTGCCGGACTGGGGTTCGCTGAACGATGAATACTTTTGGTCGGACACACTTTTGATATGGCGAAGCGCCGGTCCCGATGGCATTCGTGTTATGAGTTTCTTTGTACATCCTCCTCTCCTTTAGATTCCCCCTCCAATCACGATCTAATGTCACTTTTTGCATTTTTGTATTGTGCTCTTTTCGTATTATGGCACATTAGCTGGGGTGTGTTTCGCACCCTCAGCTAACGTGTATTGATTGTGATCGTGGTCGGACTCATGAGAATCACATAATGGGCATTTAAGCCATGAAAAAATAACGGTCATCTTGGGATCGGGGGTCGTCAGCTTTGGTTTTTCCGTAATAATAAGGACACTTTCAGCGAGGTGAGGCAGTCTGGATCAACTGATCTTCCCATATATACAAAGGAAAGTCAAAGGGGGCTCGATTCTAAGCAGTGGTCCGAGGGAATGCGCACCACTAAACGAGCTTCAATAAGGCGAAACCATCGTCTGATGCTTTTCCGGATTGGTTGCTCACGTTTGCGGCTTGTAGTCTAATGCCGAGGAACCAAATAAATCTAAACGGATAGTTCTTTTCCAGCTCTTCTTTCCTAGTTAGTTTCATTTCAACAGGGCTTCTGATTGTTTGGCTGGATACATTGGTTGACATGGCTAAGAGCAGACCTCAGTGGCGTTTGTGTTGTGAGTTTCTTTTTCTCTCCCCCTCCCACTTAGCCTCATCCTCCAACCATGATCTCATTTATTAGACAGAATATAACTCGTTTGTTCGGCACATTAGCCGAATGTTAGCTCTCTGGAATGATGTCCCCCCGTTACCGGGGACTCAGCCGGCGTGCCTCTGTTGTATTGCGGCACAATAGCTGTGGTGTTTTCCACCTGCAGCTAATGTGTATAATGGTGATTCCGCTTCGGATCAGTTGACATACCGGAAGTGTTGAGTGCCTTTCAGATGAAATATTCAATAGGGAAAATTATAGCAGAAATCACTCCAAGGTAAATAATTCTTTTCGGTAAACTCTCATCAGACCCAAACGTTTACATAGCACTGATTGTGGGGAAAGCGTCAACTCGGGCTGCGATTGACTTCTGAGCTGTTTGAACAATCAAAATCAATAACTTGAGACAGAGATACAGATGGTAAACCAAGTGAACTAACTAAACACGCATACACGAAGCTCAGTAGTGCGAAACAATTAAGTAGGTAAAACAACAGCCAAATAACTAAGTAACAGTGTCCGTTGGGCAAGGTAGTAGTATGGGCCGCATGAAGCTTTTTTGTACACATAATTCAAATGGTGAATGTAGATAGCGTCGGCGATGGTTAAGAGCTGTTTGCGGAATCCTTGGGAGAAGTGTTCAGGTAGTGATTAGATGACTTTGAAGTCATGATCAAAAGCTTTATGGCCACATTCAAGGAGGTGCGACATGGTTGAGCTGTCTGAGGACCTCTGTAAAACCATGTCGGGATGTGCTCCCGGATCCTCTGAGACAGGCGCCTTGTAGTGCGACCCACGTATCGTACACCACAGGAGCACGAGAACTGATAAACGATCATTGAACGTTTCAACGACGGTAGTCTATCCTTCAAGGGTTTTGTAAGCAACCGATTGTTGTGATAAACGATTCGCAGGCGAGCCGCGAAATAAGTTTTCTCAACAGCAGCACCAGGTGTATCCATGTGTCAAGTTATCTATTTGGATCGTTCAAACAGCCCAGAAGTCAACCGCAGCCCGAGTTGACGCTTTCTCCACAATCAGTGCTATCTAAACGTTTGGATCTGATGAGAGATCACCGAGAAGAATTATTTACCCTGGAGTGATTTCTGATATTGATTCATATTAACGAAATGGGAATCTTTGCTTTGCTGAAGCCCAGCATTGCTTGTGATTCACTGAAGCTTTGAATAAGTATCTGAAGTTCAATACTCGATTGGAAAAATCCGAGGTGGCCTTGGAATTCCTCAAAATTATAGCAATTAATAAAGGTGTAAACGCAAGGCTATGCACGTCACAAAATGTGAATAAGAAGTTGTTATTTGCTACTCATTTTTGACGTCAACAAGGGTGTAAAAGCAGACAATCGAATGAAAGATATGTGCTGAACCTTCATTCTCAGAACTGGTACTGTTGTGATCACTTTAACTCTGTCAAAACGATGTGCAATTGCGGATGGAAACCGAAATAATTTACATCGATTGGCGGAGGTTGATCGTGTCCAGTCTTCTAATGTGTCCATACTTCACGGGCACACGCTTTTTTTATTAACTTGAACACAGGAAACTCAACGATGCGCCACATGTGCCCAACTTCACTTAAATGCACCTGATTTTCACACGCTTGCCGATCAACCTCCTCGTGGTGCCAGCTGGGTGGTTCGGGACTTTCCCGTCCCAGCAAATAATTCGGCGGCAGTGTTCCAGGACGTGGTAGGTTTTCGCCTGGCAACCGTTCTCCCTATAAAAGCCACATATGACCATTTAACAACCCTGTGACGTGACAGACGGGACTCGCCACTAAATAAAGTCACTGCCCCTTGCTTCATCCTGGAGAAGCATTGTATTCCAGCAAGTTGATGCTGTAATTTCGGGGAGCATTGGGCCCCTGTTTGGCAAAGGAACAAACGAAAGGCGCATGAATTGAGCAATCAGTCATCGGCTTCCAATGGGCGCGATTCTCTTAATTCGCTCCGCTGCCTTGCGGACAGGCTATTCAGCCAAAGGCTCGCGGTGGTGTCCCCTAAGTCAACACCCTACTTCGGCTTGGGCAACCGGGTAGTATTTCGCCCTCTGACGAAACTATGGACTTTGATGTGTTGTGTTGTCTTTTCTTTTACTATTCCTGTACCTTCTTTTGAGTTCCCTGGTTTCCGATAGCTCAAAGTCTATTCATAGGCTGTTGCAATTTATATATATATATATATATATATATATATATATATATATATATATCGTGTTGTTCACAGACCGTAATTCCATGATAACGTTACTGAAGAATTTCCTCAAAGCAGAAAGAAGACCTAAGTTGAGATATGTTGACATTTCGATTGTTCTCTTCAGTAGCAAACATAATACGAGCCGAAACACAAACGTTGATACACATAAAAAATTAAGCAACACCAATCAAAATGTCGAATGATTGATCTTGCTTATTTTTGCAGATATATAATCTTTTGTGCTTTTCTGCTCGTATTGAATTTGCGCCTGAAGAGAACAATCCAAATGTTGATATACCGCAATGTATACCCTCTCCGGTTGATGGGGACTCATTGTTTTACTGAAGCATTTGTTTATCATCCATTGATATCTCACTTCCGTCATCCTTCTGTTCGCGTTCACCCTGGGGCATTTGTGTTTCTCCCACACTTTCCACTTTGTCTACACGTCTCACTTTCCACATATTCCATCTATTTTATTTTCTATCTTTTTTTCAGTTCTCAAGCACCCTTTGACTATTTATTTGTCGCTTTTCAATCTTTTACAATTCGCTGGCTTTCTGTACGTGTTTGGCAAGCTGACCTTGAGCTCATTGCAGCTCGATGGTTCCAACGAGACCGCGGAGTGGTACAACGAGGCTGTTCTACGGTTGATCGTCGCACAGTTGTTGGCGTTTCTGGAACCGATACATATTACTCTAGGTTGGGTCCCTGGATCTGTGCTCGCCTCTGCACTCCAGGTTAGTGATTTTATCCCGAATATAGAAATGTTTGTTACATCAACGTAGTCCCTTCATTTTCAGGGTTTTTTCTTCTGCGCCTCATTGATTTACACAAGCGCTACTATACGCGCGTTGGCACTCTTTCGCATACTCGCTTCTCCTATTATAGCATCCTTCGTTGGCCTTCTTGTTTTACTAGAGGTTCTTTTTCATACGCTATTGCCGATATCGTCGTGTTATATTGAATTACTCTACTCGAAGCGTTCTACCAGGCGCCGGCAGTAAGCTAGCACTTCGTACCAATGTTTCTCTGTCACGTGACTTGTCGTGTATGTAGTGTCACTGCTAAACTACCCGCATCTATGCAGATCCGGGCCAATGACCTATGTATCATAGGACGAACGATTTATCCCCCTTGGCCACACCTACCCACAAGGAAGGGTTCTCCATGTTGGAAATCCAAGTGGGTGCCCCGATAAATTCTTTTTGCTAAACTGTTTGCACTAGTGGTTTCACTTCCGTGATCACTCCCGTGCACATTTTCAGTGCACTGTTAAGCTTCTCGAGTTGATTGCAGAGCAAATCGTAGCTCTAGGGCCAACTCTGTTTTCTGCGCACCTCAACACGCATAACGGTAAAGGATGAGTCTCACTATATCGTAGTTAGATATCAGTCATGGCGCTTCCGTCACTTTCACGCATGACTCAGTGGCATAAATCACTGGCTCTTAAGGGAATAGTCATTGTTCGAATCCTGAAGGATTTGGCAGGCGCGCGTGACCGACGAGACCCAATAGGACGAAAGGGCCGTCCGGCTCTTTCCTGGAGGTGTGGTGACCGTCTAACTGAGTGTGGCTGCGACGAATCTTCTCACAGATCGATAATCTCCTTTTTCAACCATGTTACTGATCTCTTGGAAGCTCCCGTCGTAACATTCCTTCTCATGTGGAGTCGGGTTATGCTTCTTTGCCTTAGCTCCCACCTAACCTAAAATGCGCAGCTCGATCCGTTTAAGCCTTTCCTGTCCACAAACCCTCCTCTAATTCGCTATCACTCCCACAGTATACTTCAAACGTTTTATATGGTTTCATCCGTTTTAATTTGTGGTATCATTACCAACCGTCAGTTTCGTTCGATTCCTATAATTTCTTACCACGTGAAACTACCTCCTCGCTGGACAGCATATGTCGACCGCTGCCACATTTCCCTGCGCACACGTCTACCCAAGTCCCTCTCCTGTTCCAGGTCTACGGAAGATCGCTTATCTTATTTTTCATCGTGATACCTCATGATCATTTGCACGCTACCGATACAGTGTTTTGGCTCTTCTTCGCTTGGTCAGCCATCGAGTTGGTTCGGTGAGTCCCCTGTATTTCCCATCTTTCGCGACCGGTGTTTGTTCACGACAACATTTATGAGACGTGTACACGATCGTTTCGTTTCGGCGAGAGTTCGTGTTTAACCAGTGCTCGAATTTGTTTGTTCGCTTTGGAAGTTATAATTTAAGCGGGACCATCCGCATCGTACCCGCAGTATCGCCGGTTGGACAATGGACAATGGTTTATTACGGGTAAAAAAGCATCGCTTAACAAGTCCCGTGGGATGGAAATTATTGCGAAAATCAATTGCATAATAAAGTGAAAAGCGTTGTGGTGGACTCACTATAGACTTACGTGGAATAGCTGAGATGTTCGCGTATTAAACGTATACATCCATAAATCCGTTGGTTAGGCGTTTGGCAAGAAACCATTTGATTGCGTTTTGTAGCCCCTGGCTAACAAGTCATAAAATGAAGTGTAAGTGAGACAAGGCATCGTCAACACGTTTTTTAAATATCGCCAGATTGGGAGCAGAGACGACAAAATTAGGGAGGGCATTCCAAGGCTCACACACGCGAGAGAAAAGAAATTTCTACGGCATTGAGAGGTTTCACACGGATTCTCATGCGTGTCGCTATGTTTCCGTTTGGTGTCCTCTCTGGTTTATCTGTTCACTCCAAGAACTCTATGTTGTCTGGATTGCAGCAATATTATACTATTGTACGCGGCTATTTCACAACCACACGAACATCAGCAGCCTTGTTAATGGGTGCTCATAATGCATAATTATACCTTAGCTGACCTACTGCCGTATCGCCCAAATTTTGATTTGCGAACAGCCATAGCTTTTAGCCCTAGCCTGATCGCTAGGCCGTAGCAGCTTGGTTAACCAAGTCAAGAACGTGCTTTTACGCACCCTACGCTGATTTTTTCAGCTACAGTCCACTTACTGTGCCATATGCACAATAATGGATTTTAACCCACTTCCACTCTTTCGAACGACTACTACGGCGCATTCTAATCGCTCGCGCGGTGGCCGACCTACCACATCACGGCAACATCCAGTCTAGCTGTGTACGCCTTCCGAGCTAGGGAGTCGAAGAAGAAGAAGAAGAAGAGCACCGCTGATTTGAAGATCTTGAGAACTTTGTGCGGAGTCGGGGACAATGGAAGATGTGCATGAATATATGCTTTGATTCTACTGGTCAACACCACGTCAGTTAAATAACAAAACGGGGTGTGAGAAATATATATATATATATATATATATATGTATGTATATATATATATGTATATATATACTACAAAGTGCGAGAGAAAGACGTCATACATGCAGAGAAGCGGCAAATGCCGATGAGTTGTACTCCATCGATATCGAGTGCATAGTGCTGTAGCACATGCGGTCACGAGTGCCTGAGTCAGGCAGGCCTTTTGAGCCATGAACGACGCCACACGGGACCACTACTGAAGTGACGGCGGGTCCTGCAGAAAACGTAGGCAGAACGGGCGCAGCGATTGTAGGTACGCTGCATTCGATTTACTAACCGCGTGCTTGCATGCTAAGTCTATTTATTTCAGGTGGTGGGTTTTCAATTTTGCCTAAATGCTTTTCTTTCTCATATAAATGTCTACCAGTACTCTCTTCTATACAGTTGCACACGTCGTTTAAGCCAATTGTAGTTAATTTCGATAACATTTTCGTGTTTGTGGCATTTCTGTAAAATATACTTTCTCACCCCGTGGACTTATTTCGGATTCGTTTGTAAACAACTTATTTCATATGGTCATTAATTTAAGATTTATGTCACCGTTTTCGTATGCATTACTCGAGTTATTTTCTTTGTTATTTTTCTCTTAAGTGATTGGCTGTTGCTGCATTTCCCCGGTGTGGCTGCGCTTGATGTGCATGTTGACAAGATGCCTGCACGTCTATTACCCACTACCTCGTACATACTGGCTCCAGGAGACAGTGGGTCCTTGCTGGAGGGGACGGCGTACAAGGTCATTGTGGTCGTGTTAGGTTCGAAGAGTGGTTCCATGCACTCAGTGTGGAGCGGACTACGGTCCAGCCACCACCTTGTGTGCGTTTGATTCCCAAATACAACGTGCTTGTGTTTGCCTGTGAAGGAGTGTGGGCTGGCTCCGTTGATGAATCATGGCTTCCATCCACATGCTTCCCGGTCTTATTCCTTCGGGTTTACACTGGATATGGGATGTGTGGATGGAGCTGTGGGTGGTGCAGCGCAAGCTACCCATGGTCCCTCTGTAGTCGCAGGCGTCCTGTGTCTGGGCACAGTGATTGACAAATCCGAAACCGGATGCCGCCAACCATATATACCGTACGGTCCACTGCTGTTGTTAATCGTCGATTCCTTCGCATTGTTTGGATTTATCCTCTTCTGATGACATCCTCCTCAGTGTCACTGATCACAGATAGATCATCACGATAATCGGTCTCGCCTTAGTTACATAGCTACTGTTGCCATCCAGGAAAAAGCACCCCGTTGCTTTACTTCTTTTTATGTTTTCACTTGTCATTTCCCTTGGATTTAGACTTTATTTATACTCTTTTACACTTTTTATTAAGTTTCTGTTTTTCACTCAGATCTGCATCGGTCTCTAATTCATGGCAGTGCTGATGAAACTATTGCAGCTTATCACTCCCCGCTTGAATGGAACATTCTTACATTCTCCTGGTTTTCTCTTTTTCCCATGTTTCACGGCGATCTCCTTTGCTTGCAATTTTAGATATCCCTATTATATTTGCTCTTTATTCGGCTTTCGAAGCGGCCTGCTGACCTATTTGAGGCACACGCTTTGGATTCCACTCTATCCCATTGGATTTGTCTGTGAAGGTGAGCGTTCCTAACTACTAATACTACACCCCGTAACCTCTTTACAGATTCTAACAATTTCGTCGCCTGTTTGATTACCGTCTATCTTCTACTACCCGACCTAAAGTGGAGCGACCTGGAGCGTCCAACGAGATCTCGGACGTTTAAAGCAGCATTGTCATTGGTCCAGCGGCGCTATCATGATCACACATAGGTGAACTCTCTTCTTACATAGTAACAATAATATGTGCGTATTTTGTACTTATAGTTGACTTTCTTGCGATCGCAAGGGGTTTTGCACGTGCTGGGATACTATCAGAGCGTCCTAACTTAGGTAAAGTCAAGGATACGATCTCAGGACGCACAAGTTGGGATTCAAGCTCCCGGACTTTTGCGCTTCCTCGCGCGATGGAGGAGTGTCCGACGATTATTGTGTTCTTGAGTGATCCCATGGTACACATTACACCCACTGTTAAGTATTTTGTGTGGTTTTACCACATAACCTTGCATTGTCAGCACTCGTTAACGAAACCTTCCGCGAGGTAACTACACTATCATTTTATTCGCTGAGACACAAAATATTTTAAATACTCTTTTATTTTTAGCTTCCTGCCTGCCTCCATTCTTCCTCATCAGTTTTCTTGATTTTTTTTCAAAAATACCTTATACTGATTATGCATTCGATTATGCTCATCTTCAGATGCAGTGAACTGCCCAGAGTTTCTAGATTTTACTGTTGCGCGTTTCAGCGCATGTGACCGCTTCCACGAAAGTTTTTAAATGCCCCTGCTCGCCCCCAAAGCTTTCCTTTCTGTCTACGTGCTCAAAATTTAGGGTTTTCCTTGTTTACACTTATTATTATTATTATTATTATTATTATCAAAAAGCTCTATTATCGCTTGGGTAACAAGTTTTGTTGTGGACTCCGAGAAACGCTTGAACTTGAGTGACAGACATACACAACTTATCTTTTCACTCCTCGCTGGCAATTTCGGATTATGATCATACGTCATTCCATCCACTGTGCCAGTGCGCAACCCTGAAAATGTTTAAAGTTAGCTGCACAAAGCCTATTTTGACCTACCTTGTCGAGTCTGGCTATATCGCACTTAGATTTCAATCCATGATTAGCGGCTATCGTCCGCCATGGCTCAGTGGCAAAAGTTGCTCGTCTGTGTTGCATGCCACTGGCGGTCATGGGTTCGATCCCCTGCAGGATACCGAGAGTATGCGCACAAATGACTAGCCCCAATAGAGCGAAACGATTGTCTGGTGCTTTTTCAGGTTGGTATTCGTCTTTTGTGAGTTGTAACCTAATTGCAATGAACCAACTATGTCTTACCTTGTTTCGTCATTAAACGCCGCTCCTCACGTTTTCGAAAGACAAGGCGTGTTACTACAATCATATAATTCCCATAATTAGCTTAAACTGACGAAATTATGAAACAGCTTTCTTATGTTGCTACCGACGCACCTAGCTACCGATGTGTAATGCACATATCATTGTTGCTGACTACACAGTCTCCTAGCTCGCATGCAATCTGTAGCGATTGTGTGGCCCTGTGTTGTCGATACAATGTCCCGCTCAGCTAATGCAATTATCTTTACAGAAGCGACTAGCTCACTTTAGGTTAGCAATGATCAAATGCTACTGGTATACCACGGGTTTTTCCCTGACATCATTCTCCACAATATTGGCTTGGCGTGGAACGCAACACCTCTGACACACCTGTGTTTTGTGACTTTTATCTATCTGAATCTACCGGGATTTTACCAAGTAGTTGTGTTCATGAGCATTCCAAGTCGGAATGTACAACCTGCAGTCGGCTGCAGTTCACTTCTTCACCCCACCTACTTAATTGGCCTTTGCGTGCTCAATTTATGCCCTCCATCTCTCCACGGTTTTCTTCCGTCCCATTCACCATAGGTAAACTGATCTTGCGCGCTCTTCCAAACCTCGTGCTGTCACGGCGATTTAGTTATCCAATGCCAAACGCCGCTAACATGAGCTTCGACTTCCCTGTCTTCCTGCACATTCATCTCATCGGAATGCTTGGTGGTGAGTGGATATTTGTGTGATTTGATTTCAACACACTTCATTGTGTTACATATCATGTTGACTACACCTATTATTGTTGTTGTTATTATTATTATTACTATTTTTATTGTTATTATTGCTACTATGACGTGATTCAGAGTGCATTGCCTCACCGCATCTCGTGAACGCTGCAATAGTCGACCAGTCGAAATTCATGTAGACCACCTTGCCACGCGAGGAGCCCTCATGGGTCCACAGAAGTTCCACGCCGAGCCATTTCCCTCTCGCTGACCCCATCCCATCGGTTCCGCATGTCAACTCACACAGATGATAATTACGCGGATCTTCCCTCGGTATCACCATTATCTACTTCTATTACGTCACTTATTTTATCAGGCGAGCTTTAACCGCAATCAACCCGTGCTTCCCTCGGTAACACCGTTGCTGGGCGACATCTCCCATTAATTATGTTCGCCTTTGTAAATACCTTTTTACTCTTGTCAGCCCGGCAACATGGTGCTATAAATACGAAGGTGTATAATTCATGTTCGCCTTTCTTCTGAGTCAGTAGAAACGCTCTTGTCGAAGGACTGTCTTCTCTCTCCCTCTAGGTCTAGCGGTGTAGTTCTGGGATTGCGCTCCTCTCACGTGTGGGATAATTGCGGGTAGGCTCTGCTGGGGCGTAAACGGTCTGGATTTCGTGCAGCTACTCGACGCGTGGGGAACGACACCGACAAGCGTTATTGGTTCGATTAAGCAGCATATTTAACACAAACTGCGTACGAGGAGAGCTCCAATGCTTTAAATACCTGGGACCATTCTACACGTGGACATCTATTTGCTTATTTGTTTAGACTTTAGTTTTTTTTCTCCTTACCACTCATTTAACATTATGCATTGCCATGCATCTGACGTTAAGGCGAATTGAATTTGTACATCCGTCGTGCTTGTTGTTTCATCTACCAATTGAAGCGCAGACTCCAGTTTTGTACCCGACTGTCAGCAACTTCACCAATATATTTTAGCCTACTCTGCTGAGCGTCGTCACCTTTGTGTTTCTGATTAGTGTTTATTCAGAAGGCATTTATATTTCGCAGATGTTGCTTCCGCAGTGTTTGACAATAATACTTCTTTTGCTCTTGCATCACTTTGGATTACGCTTTTTAGTCGTTACGGTGTTATTGAATCGAATCGAAAACACAATTGTTCACTGTGACTACACACTTGAAGAGCGCGTGTGTGTGGAACTTGCTTCCTCCGATGCCTCTACGTCAATGCATGTGTCTCAACGCTGCCTCTCTCCGCCACATTTCTTCAGCTTTTGCCACGATGCATCTGAACGAACCATCTCATCAGGGTTCTTATGCACATGAAGCAGTAGCTGGCATCATCTGTTTCCGCATCTAGACACCACTATGATTTCGACAAACCGAAGGACTCCTGTGTCTTCACGCGCCTCATGATTTACCTTCATCCGTTCTTTTTGATGAGTCGATTCGCTGTGCCAATACAGTGTCCATTGTGGATTCCATCCCATCTCATTGATATCTTCTCGTTTGCACACTTCACACGTTGTATTTAACGCTTCTTCACTTCAGAAAAATGCGCCGCAACCAAACTGAGTTCCTTATCATCTTTTTGAAAGCATCGGACAACTGCTCCACTTTTTCTTAGCGAATAGGTTGTTGCTATTCTCTCGCTGCATTGTGGGACTTCAACCTGTGACCAACCCTTTTGAATCGGTGACTTAAACCTCTGAATCACAATGGACAACGGTAACGGCCGTAGCTTCCTTAATACTCGTGATTTCACGCGGCAGGCTCTTCAGTTTCTTACACGGTCCGTTCCTACAGCTCACAAGCTACTTCGTCTAAACTAACTCTTCCTAGATGTAGGCAACCGATTCACCTGGGGCGTTAGTAGACTTTGCATGGCATAAGAAAGTTGGTCGGTGCAGATATATCTTGCCGAAGCTTCACTGCCATGGGACCGGCGGTCGCATGCTGGCCAGGGATGCCGCGAGGTCGGCCGCTTCAGGCACCAATCGGCGATTTTTGGTTTATTGGCCAGACGCTCAAACTGCTCGGTTATCTGTCTCCTAGGTTGCTACCTTCAAACCAGTTTAAGACGACCACGTAAGGGACCAACAAAAAGTGGTCGCCTTGGACAGGTAGTTGCCATGAACAGGTTCATACCTAGGGACATTACTCATAGGAGAAAACATTGGGGATATTTTTGGCTGATCGTCGTAGCTGTTGGACTGTATAACCTAATCATCACATTTCTCACTGAAGCAAGTTAAAGTTTGCAAGTCACCGTTTTATGTGTACGATTTCTCCCATAGTGTGCTCGCTTAACTTGAAACACAGGACGCCTGATCACGCATCTTCCAGTGAGTTTTGGCGACGGCGAACCTGAGCTGGCTGATGGATCACACCGTGGCACACACATTATTGTTCAGGCGTTTGTGCATAACACATTGTAACCATTCGCTTCATATATCTTCTCATCATCAAAACTACCACCTGTCTGAATTTCTGGTTTTGTACTAGTGTAGCTGCAAAAGAAGCTGCTAGGGATGATTCGGTTCCTGGTTCCGTTTCCCTTCAATTATCTTTCGTTGGCGCCCATGTACCCTTTGCTTACATTGCTGCCATGCAAGTCTCGGCTCATCGTCGCCATCATGCGCGAAGCTAGTTTGATGCATTTGCCTCGCCAAGTTTGACGCTATATTCGTTCATGTGTCTTTCGAGGTTTTTCCCGCGGTTAATGTTTCCCGTGGATAAATGCCCTTTTCTTCTCTGCTCCTCTGCATTCTAACACGTGAGAGTGACTGTAACCATTTCTGTACGCCCTGCACCAAGATTTCGTCACAGCTGCCTTTAGTAGTCTGTTCACTCGACCAGTCGGATAACTGCGTTTTGCATGGAGCTGCTGATAAGCAGTAAACAACACCAGATTTGGTCGCTCCATTTCATAACCTGTCATTTGGTTACGTTAGTTACCACCATCTTCCTTGATCCAGATGTCGAAGCTCCGCTTTCGCAAGCTTTTCCTCACACAGAGTTAGAATGCACATTGTTGGGAGTTCCTGAACGTCTAAACGACTCTATTCTTCCGGATTATTTGACTGCGTCTTGTGACGAATTCATCTCAAATCACATAACTTTCCTTTTTTTAACCCCCCATTTTCTTTGCAGGATTTTACTATCTTATGCGCTACATGTATGCTCGGAGAAAGCGTGTGATTGGCCCACGTCCAAGGGTTGGTGCAGACCAAATGGGATTCTTTTCCTACATTCCAATTCTCCGATCCATGCTGGGTGCCAACCGTCCATCGGCCATTGTGGGTCCTCCGGGGGAGCTACGGAAACGTGGCCAGTTGGAATCCAAGTCTCGACTGTCCAAACTTGCTTAGGGTTCTAACGCTTGCATACACCTCGTTTTCGCGATTCGCCTTCTATCATATCGCCTCTTCGCTACGTTCCATGCTCCTCATCTGATGTTAATTTTTACATGACGTATTTAAGGTTTTATACCCTGCACACTCCCCCGTCTTTCTCGCACTACATATCCAATGTTTCTCCTACATGACTGGTATTTTTAGTTCTCTTTTCTTCTCTAACAGTCAACGTGTCTCGCTTCTTGTCCCGGTGCTGCTTAGGTTCCATACTTTCCTTCGGTCTAACCCCTTCGTTTCGGAGTGCAATTTAACCACGAACTTTTTTCGGATGTTGTGACCTCTGCATCAACGCTCCCCATCCTTAAATAATTGCCCCAAGTGGTTGCAGTCTTGTTTGGCCCGTCGAAACACATCCTGCAGCCTATTTGTTCCAGTGAGATTGCTTCTCTGCAGCCGGTATTTTAGCACGCCTATCAGATTTTGCGCCATCATATGTCTCATAGGATGTGACTACACTCCGTGTACTCATTTTGTCCTGTATGCACTACTTATAATCGGCTCTCCCATTGTATATTCCTGTATGTCCGGAATCTCGTGCAGATTTCGAGTGTCTGGATTTCTTTTATCTAATCACTCTTCATGTCGGTTTTAAATTCTTCTCTCCACACTTTTTTCTGTTCGTGATGGTCTACATTTTATCTCTCTGAGGTTTGGACGCCTTTTGCGATGTCTTCACAACATTCGTCTCGCCGTGGTTGTCAACAGCGGATTAGTTTCTTTGGGTTCCCGAAATATCGGGGAGTTTGAACAAGGTCTGATGATGGGACAAGTGTTGTACTTTATTGGTCAGATCCAATGCACTTTTGTAGGGAGTTCGCTGGTTGGATGGGATAGAATGTGCCTTCGAAATGCCTCGACATTGATAAGGATACCACTCGATAAACCATATAACTAGAGAAAACTGAACCGTCCAACGGTTTATGTTTTCTGTTTGTTTATATCGCATAGGTAGACCTCTCTTGAAATTAACCAAGTCTGCCCTATTTGTCCAGATGCCAACTGGTTTTGTTTCTTGATTGTGTTACGTACTTGCTTATCCTGAAAAGCGATAGTTATCTGTGGTGTTCTGGTTGTTGGGTTTTGCACGAAACGATCCCATAGGCACCAGCTAAAACAAGTTCATCGCATCCTAATGTTAACGTGGATCACCGCTAGTGTGTTTGAGTGTCCCGAACTAAAAGCCTTAATAGTCAACTCGATCACGGTGATCGTAGCCGGTCTTCTGTCGATCACTACTAAGCGTACCCACGTACTATTTATGGTTGGCGGCATCCGGTTTCGGATTTGCCTACCACTGTGCCCAAACACAGGACGCCTGCGTCTACAGAAGGATCATGGGTGGCTTGCGCTGCACCACCCACAGCTCCATCCATACACCCTATATCCAGTGTAAACCCGAAGGAATAAGACCGGGAGGCATGTGGATGGGAGCCACGTTTCATCAACGGAGCCGGCCCACACCCCTTTAGGGGCAAACACGCGCACGCGGTATTTGGGGAATCAAGTGCACACAAGTTGGTGACTGGACCGTAGTCCGCTCCACACTGAGTGCATGGAACCACTCTTCGAGCCTAGCACGACCACAAGGACCGTGCAGCCCGTCCCCTCCAGCAACGACCAACTGTATCTTGGAGCCAGTATGGACGAGGTAATGGGTAATAGACAGGTAGACACCTTGTCAACATGCACATCAAGCGCAGCCACACCGGGGATATCAAGCAACAGCCAATCACTTGAAACGACAAGATGAAATAAAATAAATCGAATAATGCATACAGATACGGTGACAACTCTTCAATAAATTAGCATCTGAAGTAAGTTGGTTAGCAACGAATCCGTGATAAGCAAAAAATGTCCACAAGTTAGTTAAAAATGCTACAAACACAAAAAAGTTACCGAAAATAAGCGCAATCAGCGTAAGCAACGTGGGCAGCTAATAGATTATTCAGGTAAGCAGAACAAACCAAATAAAGTGGAATGAAATGTATCCAGCTTAAAGGGACCTAGTTTAAGTGTAAGTTGGTTTAGCCCAACTGCGGCGAAGAAGCAGCATGATTGCAACATCAGTCCCAGCATTGGGCACAGGTACCATTTATACACCCTTCATATCACCATTGCCTTTGTGAATAATCATCGTTTCGACCGAGGATGCAGCTCACCGTGCGAATTGCGTGGCCGTGAGTGTTTGACGCTTAACGTTTCCCTCGTCAGGATTCGCTATCAGCTGCGCCGTTAATTAGAGAGTTCAGCGTGTTTAACGCGGTGGAGATTTAATCTTTGTTCTTAGCTTTAGTCTCTGTTACTGTTGATTTCGATATTTCAAATCTTTCGATTTCTTTTGTTTTCCTCATCATAGTGCCTTTTGACTTGTTGGTATGAACTGGGGCAATTTAGTCCGCTTCGCGTTCTTCCTCTAACTGTAGTTGTTCCCCAGAAATGAGTTGAAGTGTTAACTATCAATCCTGTATGACGAATCAAGACCAGAAATCAGTTCAGTGTTAAGAATTCTTTTCGGTAAACACTCTTCAGACCCGAACGTTTACATAACACTGAATGTGTGGGGTAAGCGTCAAATCGGGCTGGGATTGATTTCTAAGATGTTTAAACGGTCAGCATCGATGACTAAATGCGGCTACAGATAGCACAAAAAGTGCACCAAAGGAAAATTAATACACAAGCCTCAGCAACCTAAAGTAAATAGGAAACGTCACGAACGGAATTAAGTAACCATGTCAGTCGGCCACGGTAGTAGTATCGGCCGTATGAATCGTTTGTGTACACATAATTCCGGCTTCAGATGATGGATGTAAATATCCTCGGCAATAGACAAGATTTGCTTTCGGAAGCCTTGCGATAAGCGTTCAGGTAGTGAGTAGATGACTTTAAACTCATTCTCAGATGCAATATGGCCACTTTCGAGGAGGTGCGACATGATTGAACTGTCTGAGGACCTCATTTCGCCTTTGTAAAACCACGCTGGGATGTGCTCGCGAATCCTCTGGGATAGACGTCTCGTTGTGCGACCCGCATATCGTGCACCACAGGAGCACGAGTACTGACAAACGAGCATTGAACGGGTCAACGATGGCAGACTATCTTTCGAGAGTTTTGCAAGCAATGGCTTGTTGTGGTAAACAATTCTTAAGCGGGCTGCGAAATAAGTTTTCTCAACGGCATCTTTCAGACGTCGAGATAAGATATCAGCTGCAGTATCGTCCCTAAATGGCAAATGTATGAATAGCTCTTTCTTGGGAGCAATGCTCCTAGGTGGTTTTCGCTTTCGTCCTTTCATATGCTTCATGATACACTTATCGGGGTAACCATTTTCACGAAGGGCGTCGCTGATTTTCTGTAGCTCTTCGTTGACGACATCCGGAGTTCAAATACTGCGCGTCCTGAAGGCAAGAGACCGGATTAAACTCCTCTTGTGCTGTAAAGACACTGTGCTTTGAATGTTAGTGTATTGTCCAATCCACGTATACTTTCTGTGTACCTTTCTGCTACATGAGCTTTCCGAGTTGCGGATGGCTTCTACATCCAAGTTAGTAAACGGTTTTCATTTTCCTGCTCACAGGTGAAGCGTAGGTTCTCATGTGCGTCATTAAAGGCCTCCAGCAACTGTTCTGCATGCTTTTCGGATTCGCAAATCACGAAGATGTCATCGACATCCCCTATGTACATTTCAGTTCCACTGATGTGCGTCCTGAGTGGGCCATGTTCTAATTTCGCCATAAAGATGTCAGTCAACAACGGCCCCAAAAGAGATCCCATGACCACTCCATCAATCTGACGGTACATCTCACCATTGAACGTGAATTTAACGTGCAGCGAAATAGTATCTCCTTTAGCAAATCCTCCGGAAAGGAAGCGTATATTGGTATGAGCCCATATCGATCGACAGGAATGGGTATCAGAAAAATCCGAGGAACGAATCGGCATTTAATATCTCTAATGACTGAACATTTGTTACTAATCACTTTCTTCGCCTGTCTCCGAATTCTCACCTATGCTGCTGTGTCGGAAATAACAACATCGTTGGTGCTCACAGTTCGATTCGGCCCAATGGGTATACACATACTGCGAAGGAGGCTGCCAACGCATTACGGGCCCAGTACTCCCCAATCTTTCAAGGTGTACAAGCCTCGACGTATATTCCGCCACTAGTTACCCCACCGTCCGTTTTATCCAACGTCACGTTCACTGCAGGAATGGTGCTGCAGAAGCTGCTATCCTTGCGTCCACACAGCTCTCCCGGGGCCGATAACATTCACCCGAAAACATTGCAGGTAGTTGCCATCCACTTGGCCGAACCACTAGCTGCATTTTTTCAGCGCTGTTTCGATGAGAACATCGTACCTTCGAGGTGGAAACAAGGTGTAATAACGCCCATATACAAAGCAGGAAGTCGATCGGATCCTGCCAATTACCGCCCCGTAACGCTTCTGCCTGTGATCGCCAAAGTCATGGAAGCGGTGATAGCAGATGCGTTAATGGGATACTTGGAAAACTACGGCATAATTGCGCCAGAACAGCATGGGTTTCGTCAACATCGTTCATGTACGACGAATCTGCTGATAGTTCGTGACAACTGGACCGAGACTGTCGATGAGGGAACAGGAGTCGATGTTGCATTCTTGGACTTTTCGAAAGCCTTCGATCGCCTGGATCATCGAATCCTGCTCATTAAACTCCAACAGTACGGTATCGGAGACCCGTTGTTAGGATGGATCGGTAACTTTCTCTCTGAACGGCAGTTAGAAGTTAGAGTTCGATCATCCTTTTCCGATCCGATTCGAGTGGGATGCGGCGTACCGCAGGGTTCGGTACTTGGGCCTCGTTTGTTCCTACTTTTCATTAACGATCTAGTAAGAGTTATTACGTCGAAATTCTTACTCTTCGCGGACAATCTCAAGGTTTGGCGGGCGATAAAACGATCGGACGACCATGAAGTCCTACAGCGTGACTTGAATGAGGCCTGGAATTGGTCGGTGAGAAACGCCCTGCCGTTTAATGTGAACAAATGTCGCGTTGTTCATATGCGCCATCGACAAGTCCACGTCTACAAGCTTGGGGCACACGATCTGAAGATCACCACTCAGGAACGCGACTTGGGTGTCCTGGTACAGGAAGACCTCGGGTGTTCCAAACAGTCAGATTCCGCTTCTAAAAGGGGCAACCAGCACGTTGGACTCCTGCGAAGAGCATTCGGAATTTTGGATCCATCCATCTTCCCTTTGATGCTGAATGCCTACGTGCGTCCTCACGTCGAATATGCAATCCAGGCCTGGCAACCCTGGCTAAAACGTGACCTTGCAGCGCTTGAGACCCCACAGCGTCGAGCAACGAAAAGCGTCAAGGGCTTGCGCCACACTCCTTACCAGGAACGACTGGAGATACTCGGAGTGTTCAGCGGACGGTACCGGCGACTTCGTGGAGACTTCATACTAGTGCACCAGATATTGAGCGATCCCAGTCACGTATGCCGCCACCTCTTGAAGCTCAGCCCGAACACTAACCTTCGCGGTAACAGTTTAAAGCTGAGCCAACAGTACAGTCGTCTAGACTGTCGGAGAACCTATTTCTTCCTCCGGGTCTGCGGGCCCTGGAACGCCCTTCCAAACTCAGTTGTTTGTGCCCCCACATTAGATACGTTTAAAAACGATTGGACGTCGC